CCTCCGGGCCCCGCATCTGTGGGGCCCTCCTGCTAAACGACGTCCCTCTCTTTCGTCTCTTGCACCGCTTTTATCTTTCGCCGAGAAGCTCTCCTCCTTGGATCCTTCCGACGCCTTCCTCTCCTTTGATCTCCCTCTCTTCTTCGAACTCCCTGCTATTTTCTCTACCTTGCAACTCGCTGCGTTCGATTTCCGATACTTGTCCCTGCCCTCCCGATTCTTAATCTCTCCGCGCACTTTATCCCTAACCGGCTCCCGATACGCGTGCGGCCCGCAGCTCTTCTCTCTGCTCTCGATCGTTAAACCGTTCCTCGTCAACACAACAGATATCGGTGCTAACGCGCTGATCGACTTTAAAGCTCTCAGTTCCATCCTCGAGGACGTACGTCAGCAACGAGTTTCCGTGTTGACCGGAACTCGTCGTTTCTTCTGGCTTTCGTCGTTTCCGTCGTTCGTGCGATCAACGACGAGCACAAGTCGACGTCAGCGAATGATCTTGAGGAAAGCATCGGCGACGTGGGTACGAATCGAGGGTCTCTGTTGCCAACCCCTTTGGAGACCGAACGGCTTACGGGGATTCTAGCTGCCTTTGACTATCTTTACCCGGAGGGAAATTGTTTCGAAGTACCGTCGACTATTCAGGATACTGCCAGTTCTCCAGATGATTCGTTTATGCTGGATTTTAATCTAGTCATCAATTCCTTAGTTTTATGTTGATAGGTGATTATAGTTTTCTGTGGTAGCTTATCTGGAACAGAAAGGAAATTCGATGCAATGTTTATAAATTTAATACTTGTGCAAGAATTATTTATCTTAAAATATGACATACAACAAGATTTTTTAAATGTGAAAACTGAATCAATTTGACTGGCAGATCTTCATACAGCTATGATATATGAAAGCCATATGTATGAAACGTGTCATACAGTCATGTAACCTATGAGATCCACTGTCTGTAAAATAGATGTTGATTTTGTATATAAACATTCTCTGTCTTATAATAAAACTTGTTTGTATCAATCAGTAAAGTAAATGTACCATATGTGATCATTGTATGATTAATTCTGATATACTAAATAATTTTCATTAAAATGTTTGAGTGGATTATATTGGTAATATTTTAAGCTTTTGGTTACAATTGAGTATAGTCTGTTGAAAAGTTAAATTATAAATTCTTCATGTGAAAGCAAATAAAAGAGTCCATTCATCGTTTTTAGATATCAAGTGACTGAATATTGCGTGTCTGTTAATGGACAATACTAAGCTGTATTTAAACGAGTAAAAATCGAGCCCATTCATATCGATCAAATTTTTACATATTTCAACGAATTTTAAACTTCAAACTGATGCGTTATAAGTACCCTTTTGTAACATTTTTATATCCATTTTCATCAGACTTTTGATGTTTCAAAATCGATTTGACTTTTGCACGTCGTGATTACACAATATAAAAATTAATAAAATATGTAAAAGTAGAAAAATATCAGGACAGATTTATTTTGAAAAAGTATTTCATTGGAAAATGTTTATGAAGCGTGGAGAAATGAACGAATTTATAAATAAGCATTGTAAAATTGCTTTATTCCAGACATAATGTAATTGCACATTTGTCACATTTTGCATCAGCGGAACCACTTTGCATGCACAAAACGAATTTACATTTATAAAATTTATACTTCACTTGCAAATTGCAAATGAATTTTCAATTGTTTTATGAACGTTTATTTGTTAAGCAAAACAGTTTGCCTTTCGTTGTGAATTTTCATATTTGTTTTTACTGAATGCATATTTTGTGCGTACACCTTTATAAAAACATATTGTTTCTATAAAGTACTGTTTATATAAATATAGTAATGTTTATGTAAATATAGTAATTTGTCTTTAGGCTTTTGACAATCCACATTCTAACAGCGTCGAAAACTTTGGAATTTCCACAAAATAAATAGAAAGATTTCCCATCCAAATCCGTAACAAATTCAAATGCGATTTCACGGGAAACACGACGAGGAAGTAATCGTATAATAACATTAAAATCTGGCCGGGAAAACTAACCTATCCCGTTGTTTCTACAGACGTTGAACGAGCTTTTTCAGTCCACCGGGAATTACGTCGGCAACTCAATTTGTAACATGTTCCGTTTCGAGGTCACGAATGACACGAAACCCCCGATAGTACCCAACCGAAATCTACCGGGATTGTGAGAATTCCAAATTTCCCAATTTGTGGGCCGCTTTAAACGCGATCCTTCGGTAGTTTCATCCGTATAATCCAAGTACGCTTCGACAACTCCCTTCTCCGATGGGAATCGAAGCGGAAGGAAATTACCAAACATTACCTGGGTGAAGGTAATTACAATACACACATTTGCCCATTCGTCTGCGAAAACGGATTAATCTCGCGAATTTCGGATAATTTGTTAAATACAACCGTAACGAATCTCTGCGCCATATTCGTGCGACGGTGTCTTATAGAGGTTAGGTTAGGCTAGAGGGACTTGACATCTGATAGACATCGACTGATCGAAAGAATTATTTTATTTTTAAGAAATAATGAAGTACAATTAACTATCTGTTGTATGAATTCTCGCAAATTCGGTGTAATTTATTAAATGCAACTATACTCCCTTCATAAGTAGCGATTTCTGTATCATATTAATATGTGGAGGGTGTCATAATTTAGGCTAGGTGCCTTGACATCTGACAGAGTCTGATAAAAATAATTTTTACCTTATTTTTAGAAAACAGAAATTTTACAACTAACTGTCTGTTGCATGATTTTTTCAATTTCAAACAAAAGTACATTTTTAACAAATAATAGTGAAAAATGTGTGAGAAATATTTTGGCAGAATTTATTAAAAAAAAAGAATGATATATTACAAGTTTGCACCACTGAAGTACAGTAAAAAATAAAAATGATAAATAATATGAAATGTTTTTAGAAATGTGCTATTTATTTATATTTCACAGAATATGCATATTTCTTTGTACATTATTTTATGCCATATTTGCAGCAGAATGTAAAACAGAGTTAATTAGGCTGGTTTGTACTGAACACAATGGATGTTGAAGTTTTATTTAATATTAAAACATGCTTTTAATGTGTTTCTTATTCATAATGGAAATTTCTGAAACTACTGAAAATACTGAGAATATTAAACCAAGCCGTGAGCAATTTTAAAAATGTTTCTAAAAGATATTTATTTATGAAACATTCGAACTCTGCGTTAATATTAAAGAAATATTTCATACTCCCATGAAACGTATTTTATTAATCAACATGTGTTTACTATGTGTCCACCTAAATATGTTCTAAAATAAAGAACAAAATATCCGCACCTAAAAATCAGAGAAAATGGCGTCTTATAAATCTGCAGCGAGTAACGAAATAAATAAGAGCAATGAAAAAGCTGTTAAATAAAGAACGTAAGATTGTCCTAAAAAGAAAGTATCATTAAAAGTTCATACACGTATCACGCGAGAATGATCATCGATACTCCGCAGAACCGATCAAATTTCAAGATGCAATAATACCGAAACGATTGATCGTTTGCGTGAAGCACGAACGTATTTGTCGACCAAACGGTGCAGTTAAACTTACGAACGTTCACCTCGATAAAAATTTATACGGCTAATGCCCGTCTCTTAAAGTTTAAGGGTCATTCGCGTCGTACGAAAATTTATAGAACGATCACCGCAGCTAAACGACGTTCATTTTCAATTCCATTCGAAAGAAACATCATCCGCGGAAAGAGCCCCGAAGGATTCAAATCCTGCAGTACGATCAAACTGTAAACGCGACGGGCAAGAATCTAACTACTTGCTGATTCGTCGCCTATCAGAGGCTTCCATCGACGGAAGTTGGCCGGTGTCGTTGAGGCTTTGCAACTTCAAAAGAGGATCAAAGTGTCGCGGGATTACGCGTCAGATTCGAGGCGACGAGTATCTGTCCGTTGTGCCCTCGACTCCTATTGGCCGAGATATCGATAACCATCACCGGGACGAGTAGGACAAGAAATAAGAGAAAGAGGGGAAGGATGAAGAGTAGTTCGTGGCGAAATTAAATTCCTAGCTCGCACTAATTGCAGGGGACGAGCAGGCCGATTAATAATACCGACCAGCCAACTTCCAAGCTGGCGCTATCGATCCTCGAGGAATTATCGAGATGCGGATGATGACAGCCGTGATAGGATTCGTGAACTTTTCTATTGAAATAACGGGGATGGAAGCCGCTAATGACTCTTCTGTAGCTTTTGATGGAGGGTGGGTCGGATTTTAGGGGATGGATTCGAAATTCACAGATTAGAATTGTATAGTACAGATTCAAATGTAGAATCATGTGATAGAGAATCAAATATAGAGACGTGTTATACAAAATCAAAAATAGAGGCGTGTAATACAGACTCAACAATAGAGGCATGTAATACAGACTCAACAATAGAGTCATTCAATGCAAAATTAAATATAGAGTCACATTATACAAAATCAAAAATAGAGTCACATAATACAAAATTAAAAATAAAGTCATATAATACAAAATCAAAGATAGAGTCACATTATACAAAATCAAAAATAGAGTCACATAATACAAAGTCAAAAATAGAGTCACATAATACAAAATTAAAAATAGAGTCATATAATACAAAATCAAAGATAGAGTCACATTATACAAAATCAAAAATAGAGTCACATAATACAAAATCAAAGATGGAGTCACATAACACAAAATCAAAAATAAAGTCACATAATACAAAATTAAAGATGGAGTCACATAATACAAAATCAAAGATGGAGTCACATAACACAAAATCAAAAATAAAGTCACATAATACAAAATTAAAGATGGAGTCACATAATACAAAATCAAAGATGGAGTCACATAACACAAAATCAAAAATAAAGTCACATAATACAAAATTAAAGATGGAGTCACATAATACAAAATCAAAGATGGAGTCACATAACACAAAATCAAAAATAAAGTCACATAATACAAAATTAAAGATGGAGTCACATAATACAAAATCAAAGATGGAGTCACATAACACAAAATCAAAAATAAAGTCACATAATACAAAATTAAAGATGGA